TCTAAGTAAGAAATTGCATAATTCATATTTCTGAATTCGCAATACTTTTCCAATTTTGATTTTTCAAAATTTTTGTGTTAAATAAAGGAAGATTACGTATCTTCACCCACAATTTGCAACTTTAATTGTTTGTTTGAGGTTTAAATTTTTTATAAGTAAAAACAGGTACCCTGCGGCGTTTAGAATAAGTTAAGCGTATGCGTAGGATCCTGTGCAATTTGTATTAAGTTAATGTATGTGCGTGTGTGTGTGTGTGATACAAGCTCTTTACTGGATTGTGGTAAAGAACTTGTATATGCGAGCCTATGAGCTAAGTAGAGTCAGAACTCATTTATCCTTCTGATAAATGAGGTTGCATTTGGTGGGAGGAAGGGATTTGGAGTTAGGGTGGGTCGCTATCGTAGCCACCTCCACGTGGTGTGACCTGGTAATTGGTATAGTTCTCTGAAGACTTTAAAAAATCTTCAGAGAACTATACCGAGCTAAGAGCTACGATTAGAATTTAACTTAGAATTAGAATTTAGAATTTAAGAGCTACGATTGTAATTTTACTAAAAATATATGTATATATAGTTGTATAGATTTATACAGTCATATATATAACTAACCTAACCCAGCCTAATGTAATCTAACCCAACCTATACATTCATAGTTTACAGTGCAATTATAAGAATTTTTGAAAAATTTTGTGGAATCATTAAGGTGCCCTCATCAGTCACCACTGCGTGTACCGGCTAGGTACGGCATTGGCGGCAAGCTGTGACGTCAGCTGTCGCATGCGCATAAAGCTTTCGCGTGAGATAAAATCTTACGACTGCCCGACACTGCGCCATCTAGCGGCGCCACTAAATACATAGGTGCGTACGCTCCTGCATTGCTCGTGCATGCGCGCAAAAACCCGTCCAATATCTCATCACTGTTCCCAATGCTACATGATAGAAGCGTTCGCTCTTAGGAGAGAGCGGACAGTAGCAGCACGTGGTTTATACTACATTACTGAGGACGGTGCTGCTTTGCCAGGATGGCAAATTTCCTAATCGCTAAATAGATTACATGCGGTCATATGGACCATGCCTAGTGAAGACACTAGGTTAAGGCGTAGATTAAGTTTTCATATAGTAAAGTTTTTGTAACGAGCAAATTGAGAGGAAATCCTCTCATATGAGAAAATAAAATACAATACAATACCACAGTATAAGAAAGCTTATACTATACAATACCACAGTATAAGAAAGCTTATACTATACAATACCACAGTATAAGAAACAAGAAAGCTTATACTGTGGTATAATAAAAAGCTGGATCTAACGTACAATTTTCACTGTAGATGGTAGCTCGATCGCGAGAATCGTGTTAGAGTTCGTTGTAACTCGAAGCATCTCTTTAAAGCGATGAATCAATGACTATCGCGTTGGAAGTGCTCTGGTGTTCCCTTGACGTTTGACGTTAGGAATAATTATCGAACAAGTCGTAAGGTTTCCTCGGAACAAAGATGGTATAAGGACAAACGGTATAATAAAGATGAGCAGGATAGCGAAAATGGCCTGTCCTGGAGGTGGCTTGTACGTCCTCGAGGGCGAAGTCGGCCTCTTGGCGACGGCTATGAAACGGGGCACTCGATGGTCTTCTCATTCCCATCAGGTTAGATTACTTTTCGAATAAATTGGTCGTTTCGCAATGAAACGTATCATGTAATCGACTACTAAGATCGTAATTCTAGTTTCCGTTAATTTGTCATTACGTTTATCTGAGGTTAACGCGCGAATTTGCTTTGATCGTTAACGAATCAAACAGGTTGTAACAAATTACCGTCTGGTTCGGTGATCGGTTAAACGAAACGATTCTTGTATTTTCGCAGTGATGTATAGATGGTGTCTTAGGTTCAAACTTCACCGGTATGTTCTGTGAATAGAAGTGAAAAAAGTGATAAATAAACATTCACTCACAAACGCTGTAATTAAAAAAAACATAAAATTGTAAAATCTGAAAATAACAACTGGCTCTTTGGTACATTGCAATGTCACAATAAACTGTCTATATATGAGAAATCTACTTTCTTCAATGTTTGTTGTTTGAACTAATAATTGCTGGAATTTAATTTTTTGTCGTGCAAAAACTGAGTGCATTCCAACTTTATAAGCAATACTTTACCAGATATCCTGAGAAGAAGTTTCATTTCCTTGTCATTGTATATCATTGTCAAGCTTATTATAAGACTCGTTAGAAAATTATTAGATGAACGTTATCATGAAAGACAGATTAGTCAGATGATACATAATTTAACCTGCAAGACTGCTATATTTACTCTCAGATTTTTATCTGTGCAGAACAATGCAAGCAATTGTGTTTATATAAGACTTAATTCATGACAAGCACTGGTTGAAAGAATTAATAGTGCATTCATTGAACCAAAACAAAATGTGATAAACTTGATTCTTTTACAATGTCAAGTTTTCTTTTGAGACAGAAGATAGCATTTTAAAATGAAAACACAATCAGAGTTTCAAGGTAACAAAATGTTTGTATAACATTTTCTTTTTAATTCCACTCATGGAACACACAGATGAAGTTTGATGTTTTAAACCTGGGATATTTTGTGTTTGTAAATATGTATGCATTTCCTTATACATAATTATTTTTAAGGACGATGACCAAGATGCTCTTCTAAAAGGATTATACACTTTGAAGGAGGCTCTGAATGATGCAAAAGATTTATCTTATTTAGAACCAGGGGTGTTTCTTGCTCCATTTCTAGAAATTATAAGGTCGGAGGAAACGACTGGACCTGTTACCAGTCTTGCACTGTCTGCAGTGAATAAAATCATATCTTATGGTCTAGTTGGTATGTATTATATAATCATAACTCAAGATAGTTCAATAATATCTATTAAAATAATGTTAACTCTAGATGCTGATCATCCAGCAATAGCACAATGTGTGGAAGCTGTGGCAGACGCTGTTACACATGCGAGGTTCGTTGGGACCGACGCGTCGGGAGATGGAGTTGTTCTAATGAGAATACTTCAGGTTTTGAGAGCTCTCACGTTATCGCCTGCTGGAGATCACCTTTCGAACGAAAGTATTTGCGAAATTATGCTCAGTTGCTTCAGGATATGTTTTGAAACGCGTCTCAGCGGTAAGAAAATTTCTAGCTGTTTAAATTCTTTCTTAGTCGTACGTCAACATTGTTTCTCCGGTTGCAGAACTGTTGAGAAGAACTGCCGAGCATTGTTTAAGGGACATGGTGCAACATCTTTTCACTCGGTTGCCACGATTCGCGGACGATACGAGGGTTCTGTTAAATATGAATGTAAGCTATTACGAGTGGTGTGCAAGCATAATGTTCTAACTCGTCTATTTTTGTAGAAAATGAGGGCGAACAGTATGGAGAACGGTCGCGGCAAAAATAGGAGAAACAAGAATCATTCGAAACAAAAAGTTAAGCCAAATACGGATAACGTAGGCGATGGTGAAACTCAGCTTTCGAGTCCCGTCGACAGAGTCAGACCGAGTCATTTGCCGACGACGCCCGTCACTAACTCGGGAAATATTGTTGATATGCAAGGTTCTTTCGATCACGGAGCAGTCGAGAAAGCGGACGAGGAAAAGAACGTTAATAAAGACGGTAAAAAGGACCCGAAGGATGTAGATGAAATTAGGAAGCAGAAAGACGAGTCGAACGCAAAGATCAAAAGGGAAGACTCAAAAGATATGTCGCGGTGTAAGGAAGGCAGCGAGAATACGGAGAACGAAACGAGTAGTTCCGTAGAAAAAGAACAAGTTTTACGGGAAGAAAATAAGAGCACGGAGAAAGAAGAGGCGGACGAGCGGAACGAACGAAACGAGACGAAGAAAGAAGAATGTGGAGGTATGTAGCCGCGTACATTGGTCGCGTGGAAATATCGATGGATAGTAAATGGAACGTGACTGTCTATAACTTTCTAGAGAGTCGGTCGGTGGATGACGAGAAAAACACGGATTCGATAGCGTCTCCTTTAGGAAGCGTGGAAGATTTATCGGTCGAAGAAAGCACGAACGGTTCACCGAACACGTTCAAGAACAAGGAGGCTGAACAAGTCGAAGAATACATAAATGCTCAAGGAGTTCGTTTCACGTCGCTCCAACAATTGTCCCCGTACGGTGCTTTGTGCGTCCGTGAATTATTTCGGTTCCTGGTGTCTTTGTGTAGTCCTCTCGATAAACAGAATAACGAAATTATGACCCATCTAGGTCTCAGTTTGTTACAAGTGGCCTTGGAAATTGCTGCCGATGCCCTTTCCAATTTTCCGTCGTTGCTTGCGCTCGTTAAAGACGACCTCTGTAGAAATCTTATTCTGGTAAGCAAACGCAACGCACATGTATCTAAAATCTAGGTGAATTAGTGAACAGCACGTGGGATAATTGCGATCGTTTGTGTTAGCTTCTTAGCACCGATCGGACGTCCATTCTTGTAGCCGATCTGCAGGTTTCGTTCCTACTGTTCGAATCGCAAAGGGAGCACCTAAAATTTCAAATGGAACATTACATAAACAAATTGATGGACATTGTGAGCTCGGACTCGAACCGTATATCATATGATCAGCGAGAGCTAGCGCTAGGTACGAACAGTTAGAATTTTTCAAAACTTATGTTGAAATAGTAAAGTAAGTTGAAATTATTTAAAGCTTATTTTATTTCAGAGGCTATCGTGAGATTATGGAAAATACCTGGTTTACCAGCGGAACTGTATTTGAATTACGATTGCGGTTTATACTCCACCAACTTGTACGAAGAGTTGATGAAAATGTTGTCTAAGGTAAGTTCTTGTTTGTTCGAGAAATAATAATAGAATACTTACACTGAACTAGTAAACATGTGATGTACTTACCTTGTTTATAGAACGCTTCTGCATTACTGGGCAATATGCATAATATGCAGTTTATTTCCTTGGACGCGATATTCGCGTTGATTTCTGGGATGGAAATCAGATGTAAAGGGTACAAGGAATTGTATAAAGCTTCTCGACATAACGCTTCACCGAATCTTCCGACGCGAGAAGAACTGCTCGCTATAAAGGCGAATAAGCGGGTTCGTAAATACTTTTATCGTTTCTTTCCTTCTTTACTTTCTCGTTTATTCGTTCGATTGCTTTCCGCACAATGAGTCGAATAATCGCAAGTTTTCTGTCGGGATCAGTGGTTGGTACTCGGCACGGAAAAATTCAATGAAAATCCACGTGAAGGGATCGCCAAACTCACGGAGCATGGCCTGTTGGGTGGAAGTCCGGGTAATCCAGATCCAGAGAAGGTAGCGAAACTGTTGAAGGAGAATCCTGGACTGGATAAGAAAGCGATCGGCGAATACATTAGTAAAAAGGAGAATAAAAACGTTTTAAATTGTTTCGTTCGTAGTTTTGATTTGAAAAACACGCGAATCGATCAAGCGCTACGTCTGTATTTGGAATCCTTTAGACTTCCTGGCGAAGCACCGCTCATCTCTCTATTGCTCGAAAAGTTCGCAGAACACTGGCACGTGAGTACGTTTTGCGTTCCGTTCGAACATCGCACGAACGATTACTTAATACAAAACGAGAGCGCGCTTTAAAAATTAACTCTTGATGGACTTTTCAGGATAGCAACGGTAAGCCGTTCGCTTCCGCCGACGCCGCCTTCACTTTGGCGTACGCAGTGATCATGTTGAACGTCGATCAACACAACTACAACGTGAAACGACAAAATAATCCCATGACTGCTGACGAGTTCAAAAGGAATTTAAAAAAGGTGAACGGCGGTGCTGACTTTGACCAAGACATGCTGGACGAAATCTATTACTCCATCAAGTAAGGAAGGGAGAGAGAGCGAATATGCTGTGTGGGTTGACTGTTAATTTTAAATTGACCTTAATCGATTCAATGTATTAATTCCTTTAGGGGCGAGGAAATCGTGATGCCTGCTGAACAGACTGGCTTAGTGAAAGACAACTACCTGTGGAAGGTTTTGTTACGCAGGGGCGTTGGTCCTGAAAGTTTGTACCTGAAAGTAGGGAACTCTGGTGAATTCGTGGATAAAGAATTGGCAGAACAGGCATGGGCTCCCATAGTGAGCGCGCTTTGCAGAGCGTACGACAAAGCACCTGACAGATCGTTGCAGCGTCGGGTCGCTGAAACTTTTCTTCGGTTTGTTACGTTTGGACGATGCTTATAAAAAATACATCCGTACAAAATAATTTGATAGTTAATCCGACAGTTTGATAGTTATGATGATTTGTTTCTTTTTTATTTTAGCTGCGCGTCCATCAGTGCCCATTACGGCATGAGCAGCGACTTAGACACCCTGGTGGTTAGCTTATGCAAGTTTACAGGGCTCGCGACCGGTGGTGAACCCGACCAAGTGGTGCTGCAGCTCGGCGGAAGTAGCAAATGTCAATTAGCAGCACGTACGCTGTTCAAAATAACTCATATGCACGGAAACGCCATAAGAGCTTCATGGAAAAATATCATCGACTGCTTGCAATCGTTGTACAAAGCAAGGTTGTTGCCAAAGAGTCTCACGGAAGGGGAAGATTTTCTAGATCCGTCGGGGAAGGTGTCTCTGATCCGAGAACCGGCTACGCCGAAGCCAGCTCCGGTCGATCAAGGAATACTGTCCAGTTTGTATTCCTACATAGCTCTGGATACCTCGAGAATCTCTCATCCGGCCGAAACGATTGCGAGGAAAAGAGCCAACGAATTCGTGGCCAACTGTTACTTGAGACAAATCATTGAAGAAAGCAAGTTTTTGCAAGTGGAGTCTCTTCGCTCGATGGTTGGAGCTCTGGTATTCGTTAAAAGCCACGAAGAGGACGCGTCAGTATTTCTATTAGAATTATTGTTGGAAGTAACGATTCAAAATCGTGATCGGGTGACGTGCATCTGGCCGATCGTTCAGGCACATTTGGACGGGTTGCTGACTAGCGCGGCACGAGAAAATCACCCGTACCTGTTGGAAAGGGTGGCCGTTGGAATGTTGAGGCTAGCGATACGATTGTTACGGGGAGAGGAATGTGCATGGACCGTTCTACCTTCTCTATTACCTTTGACTCATCTACCTTCGGTCAGCAGCGCACCGCTCGCACGACAGATAGCCTACGGATTATTTGAATTGCTCAAAACTGGTGCAGCGAATATTCACAGCACGGAAGATTGGCGGGTGGTGTTCAGTCTGCTCGAATGTGCCGGTGCTGGAGCGTTATCACCGAAACAATCCAACACCGTGCTGGACGAAGCAAGCAACAGAACGTCAGTACTGGACACAAGGCCGATCAGCCCGGTGCCGGAGTGGGTCCTGGTATCTCCCACAGGAACAGAAGCACCACTACCAGTCGCTGCCGACACGATCGTCCTGGATCGAGACTTGCAACCGCACGATCCTCACGCTCTGGTCAAATGTTGCGAAAGTCTGACGTTCTTGGTCCGCGACGTAGCGCACGTGACACCCTTCAACTTCGAATTGTGCATCCGTTGCGTCAGAACGTTCGCCGAAGCGGTTCTGCAGTGTTCCGGCAAACGAAGCAAGGTGCACCTCACTGGGGAGGAGCCAGCCGGCTATCAACAGAGTCCCATTCAACTGCTGGACCTGATGCACACGCTGCACACGAGAACGGGCCAGGTGTTCCGCTGGTGGGCCGAAGAGGGTAACGCCATGGAAGGCGTGTCGCTCTGGCCGCAGGCTTGGAGACCTCTGCTGCAGGGGATTGCGAGATTGTGCTGCGACGCTCGCAGACAGGTCCGAACTGCGGCGATCACCTATTTGCAAAGCACTCTACTCGCTCACGACTTAGCTCAACTGTCCGCGGTCGAATGGTCCCAATGCTTGGAGCAGGTGTTGTTCCCCCTGCTCGCGCAACTGCTGGGCCCCATAGCGTCCAACGACCCCATCGGCGTCGAGGAGACCAGAGTCAGAGCCGCGATGCTGCTTTCCAAGGTGTTCCTTCATCACTTGAATCCTCTGTTGACGCTCCCCGGCTTTCTACCGCTGTGGTTGACGGTGCTAGATTTGCTCCGCGCCTACATGCACGCGGACAACAGCGAGCTTCTTTACGAAGCCATACCAGAGTCCTTGAAGAACATGCTGCTGGTCATGTCATCGGCCAACGTCTTGGCTGCAGATTCGAACCTGTGGGCTCCGACCTGGAGAACAATCGACGCTTTCTTGCCGAACTTAAAAGCGGAACTGTTCCCGGAGCCTGTTCCGTCTCCACCGCCTCCACCATCTCCTCCACCACCACCTCCGCCGCCTCCACCACCGCTACCCTCGCAACAGTGGGAAGAAACCGCAAGAGTAATCAGTTTAGTCGAACAGCAGCAGCCGTCATTCTCCGGATCAATAGCGCCCCAACCGGAAAAGAACGGATCTATCGAATCGTTGTCTCCGACCTCGACGGAGGTCAGTTCCGACGTCCCATCGATACCCGTACCTATTCCTAACCTTCCTTTTAGTAAGAACAGCGAACAACGAGTGATCACGTTACTCGATCAGAGACCACCGATCGTGTCGAGCCCGGTCGCCGTGCAACCGGTCACGGTACCACCTCCTGTTGATGTCTCCCTTGTCAACGATTGGTCCAGCGAAGAGGAACGGCAACGACTCCTTCGAATACCGGTGGACTCGAACTTGGACCCTACGTTGCCAAAGATTAACCGGAATAACGAGACCGAGAGCAAACGAGAGGAGAGACAAGTTTTGTTACAGCCGCAGGCCGTGCAATCAAATTTCTTGTTTCGAAACGACTCCGAGGTGAGCGATTCGTAATCTATGAAATTCAATAATCATTTTAGTGCTTTTGAAGGCAGCTTCCTTGGTAGATTGTATCTTACAAGAAACTATTATACCTTACAACAAATTCCTTCGATTTGTTATAATATATTAATATTTTTTTTTAGACAACGAACATGGGGAGCGTGACAACGACCATGTTTAATTCCGCTGCATACTTCAGCGAAGACCCCGCCGCAGATCGACTGTTCGCAGTCACCAACCCTTGACCACTGTACATTCGTTATGTATATTGTATCATTTCCACGGAGAAGAAATTTTCGAACGTACTTTTAAAAGAATAATCGATAGATAGAATTTTGTCCTGTACATTTGGCATCGCGGTATATTAATAACAATAGTATATTACGATGTATATTTAATATTATCACTAATTATATATACACATGTTCGCGCGTATGCATTCTCTTCCCTTTGCTTCCAGAGAATGAGGATGGGGGGAGACATGTAAATGTTATATACATAATACAAACGTAAGTATATATGTATATATAGTGTAGGTACGTACACGTGTAACGTATTCGCGCGCAGAGGCACGTACAAATAATTACATCGAAAGTCTGTCGCTACAGAACGATTTCTGACAACCTACGTTCGCTCTTATACTCGTACATTTGTAAACGCGACCGGTTAAATAAACGAAATTAGATTATCGATGCGTCGTAAATTCTTGAGAATCGAACATCAACGTTTATTACTGATACAGTTCGATATCACTTTCGTTACTTCGTTGATCTCGCAAAACGGATGCTCGAAACATGTTCAAAACACCAGGCAGCTATAATTAGCCCACGAAGAGAAGACGCAGTATTGTTAGAAGCGGAAAAGTTTTCTGGTCCGTCATTCAGAGACTCACTATATACCGAGTCCATTCACTTACCATTCGTTCTTGTCATAAAGAAATTATACACAGTCGAATATTATTGGTCTCTCCGACAGTAGTAACCTAGAGTCTTGCATTTCTGACACAGGTGCTGCGGATGCACCTTGCTCTGATCCGACACGTCCAACCCGTCCGGCTTTTCCAACGGCCTCTGAAAACGAGTTAGTAAACCACGGAAAATAGTCACGCAGCGTGCCAAAGCTAGTATTTTGAAACTCTCCTAAAAATACAGTTCGATCCGGGAAAGAAAAGTAACGATGTAAACGTACCTGTTTATGAGGATAGACGTTCACGCGACATTTGATACATTCTTGGCCCATATTGGCCCAGCTGTTGCCCGACATCCATTTGCGTTTACACTTGGGACACTTGTACTCTCCGAAGCATCGTTTTTTCCCTTGGTATGGCGTCAGACCCTCGCCCTTCGGTCGTGCCTGTAAGCCGAGACACGTTTCACGATGACGTTCTAATTGACTGGGTTAGTCACTCGTGTATTTTAAGAAGCAGACCGCTGCGACGATAAAGAAAGAAAGACCTGCGGGCAATTTTTGATGTAGTGACCCTTATTGAAGCAGAGGTGGCATAAATAAGTGGGCGGTGGTCTCTTCGTCGGTTTCGCGTCCAACAGGTTCAGATCGGCGAAGCGATCGGTGATTTCGTCGTCGAAGTTGCTCGACACAGGTCCGATCGGTCGCTGCAGATAGGACCTTGGGAACCCGTTCCAAATCGTGGGCACCAGCTTGCTCTGAAGTCAGAAGAAACGTTGGAGCGGAAGGAAACGAGAGGCTACGAGGCTCTACCTGATCCGAGACATCGTGGTCGGCGATCGCCAAGTAGATCCAGTTGAGCAAATGCGGCGAGTAGTGCGTCCGCAGACTCGCAAAACGGATGCTCGAAACATGTTCAAAACACCAGGCAGCTATAATTAGCCCACGAAGAGAAGACGCAGTATTGTTAGAAGCGGAAAAGTTTTCTGGTCCGTCATTCAGAGACTCACTATATACCGAGTCCATTCACTTACCATTCGTTCTTGTCATAAAGAAATTATACACAGTCGAATATTATTGGTCTCTCCGACAGTAGTAACCTAGAGTCTTGCATTTCTGACACAGGTGCTGCGGATGCACCTTGCTCTGATCCGACACGTCCAACCCGTCCGGCTTTTCCAACGGCCTCTGAAAACGAGTTAGTAAACCACGGAAAATAGTCACGCAGCGTGCCAAAGCTAGTATTTTGAAACTCTCCTAAAAATACAGTTCGATCCGGGAAAGAAAAGTAACGATGTAAACGTACCTGTTTATGAGGATAGACGTTCACGCGACATTTGATACATTCTTGGCCCATATTGGCCCAGCTGTTGCCCGACATCCATTTGCGTTTACACTTGGGACACTTGTACTCTCCGAAGCATCGTTTTTTCCCTTGGTATGGCGTCAGACCCTCGCCCTTCGGTCGTGCCTGTAAGCCGAGACACGTTTCACGATGACGTTCTAATTGACTGGGTTAGTCACTCGTGTATTTTAAGAAGCAGACCGCTGCGACGATAAAGAAAGAAAGACCTGCGGGCAATTTTTGATGTAGTGACCCTTATTGAAGCAGAGGTGGCATAAATAAGTGGGCGGTGGTCTCTTCGTCGGTTTCGCGTCCAACAGGTTCAGATCGGCGAAGCGATCGGTGATTTCGTCGTCGAAGTTGCTCGACACAGGTCCGATCGGTCGCTGCAGATAGGACCTTGGGAACCCGTTCCAAATCGTGGGCACCAGCTTGCTCTGAAGTCAGAAGAAACGTTGGAGCGGAAGGAAACGAGAGGCTACGAGGCTCTACCTGATCCGAGACATCGTGGTCGGCGATCGCCAAGTAGATCCAGTTGAGCAAATGCGGCGAGTAGTGCGTCCGCAGAGGCTTCTGTCCCGGGCTGACCAGGTCGTTAACCGATCGGAGGATCGGCTCCTGGAGCTGGAGCTGTCGAATCGACTTCGGGTGGCAGGTGGCCATGCCTAGGGTCTAATTCACCCTTGCCCCGCGCGATCTTCGACTCGCTTTGCCGGACATCTTCGAGGGTGTCCGTAGTTTGAAATCACGTGAAACGATCACTGCATATCGGTATTTTAACCTGACGCACGGTTGCACCGCGGAACGAGTACACTGAATTGTTCGTGACCGCAACTCCTACGTCCTCCGTTTATTTGCGGAACGTCGAGATAAGTAGCTCTTCTTCTCGAATCATTCTCTGACTCGGTTTCCTCTCGAGGTTGTTACTCAGAGTGGGGACTTCTTCGGAAGATTCGGCGGAGGCCGACGTTAACGTTTCCCGATACCCGAATACGTTGAATACGTCAAAACGCGGACCGACGAATCTGCGGCGACGACCCCCGCCATATGGCGTAGCTATTTCGGGGCTCGCTATCTAACTACCTTTGTACACCGTACTTTTAGACTACGCCATTGAGTCTTGCGGTTATTAACGGATCGACGGATTATCTTGATCAAATATAAGTTTTGTAAATTGTGGAGAAGTTATTTAGTTTTCATTCATGTATTTCAATTTTATTTCATTCAATTTCGTGTCATTTAATTTCCGAAGAATCTTGATCAGACTGTGTGTCTGCTGTTTGGATCACGATTCGAACTAGATCGATTACTCTCTTCAGAACAACAAGTTTCGGATGCCTCGCAAGCTTTGGCGTCTACAATCGTGCCCTTCCGCCCTCACGATTGAGACGAGCGTCAAAACTTGGCATCCAGCCTAGCCTTTCGACCTTTCGCACCCGTGAACAAATGACTTCTTGTAAGTTGGGATGTAACAGGTTGTATGAACTATCGACTTGATGAACATTGGATTGGGTTTTAGGGAAGTTTTGTTAAGGGTGTGGCTATTTTTATTACATTTCTGTTTTTATTACTGGGCGAGCTTTTTGTTATCTTTCATGGGTGAAGAAAATTGAAATGAGGAAATCGGAGTTGAATTTCTAATTTCTCATAAAGACTTTGTAGATGTTTTATAATTTACTTTGGTTCAAGTTTATATATACTTTATAGATGTTTTATAATTTATTTTGGTTCAAGTTTTTGTTTTGCGAACATATAGATTTCATATGATTTGTGCCATGTTATCAATAAGTAATAGGTTATGAATAACTTATTCAAGCATCAATGGTTGTCCAATGATTTTCATTAATTTTTTAAAAATTTCGAGTAGTCAACTTTTGTAACTTCAGAAGTTTGAAAAATAGTGACAAAAATTTTGTATGTATTAACGTATAGAAATTTGCAAATAAAAGTATTATTAATTGTATAACATTTATTTGTCTTAAAGATTTTAATTAATTTCTAAAAATTTCCAAGTAGTCAACTTTCGTAACTTCAGAAATTTGAAAAATATTCACAAAAATTTTGTATATATTACACGTAGAAATTTGCAAATAAAAGTATTATTTGTCTTAACACAGTTACAGATTTCTGTAGTCAGCGATTTCATTCACTGAAACCGCTATTCTAATAATAGGATCATAGAACAGTTGAGGAAGTAAATGAAAGATGTTGGATTAGCGGGAAAGCATGTAAGGGAAAAATATAACAATGATATTTAATAAACAAGTTTCAATAATCTGGACAAGGTTTTTTCAAATAAAACTTGTCTCACATTCCTCTGTCACAGTGCTTCTATATTTATACTACGTTCTTTATTCATGCTTTTTATTCTTGTCATTCATGTTCAGTTATATTTAATTCAACTATTTGTTTATTTTATTTTATCAGGGATTGTTTTGTTTATTTTATAATTTCTGAGAGAATAAGAAACGGTACTTGCTATCATAGTGAATATGAAGACATAGAGAAGAATGTAGTTCGTATAATATCGAATAGTATCGTTTCTGTTCGAGATATCGAAAATCATATTGGAGAATCGACAGGTCCGAAAACTGCACCTGGTAACAGGATAACAGAATGTACAAAGAGGCAGCATGTATACGTACTGCAGTCTGCGCAGAAGCGCTGCGCAGTGGAGCCTATGCGCAACAGAGGATGCGCAGTGGATAAAACAGAGTGACGTGATAAAGAAATCTACGGGCAACTACTAAATCTACTCCTGGTAGTAAGATAACAGAGTATGCAAAGAGGGGGCATATTTGATTGATTGGTTGGTTCTTGTTGTGGGCGTCGACTACTGTGATCATTAGCCCAAGGCACGTTTGATAGGTAGGCTGCGCAGTAACCTTGCGCAGTAGTGCGTATGCGCGGAAGAGGCTGCGCAGTGGACGAATGAGGATAACATGGTGGGGGAACTGACGCGCTCGCAACCTGCGTCTGGTAGCAGGATAACAGAATATGCGAAGAGGTGGCATGTTCGCTGACAGCAGTCTGCGCAGCAAACCTGCGCAGTGGCGCTTATGCGCGGTGGGCGGTGCGCACTAGTGCTTCTGCGCGGTAGAGGATGCGCAGTAAACGGAGAAAGTACATGATGGGAGAACTGACAGGTCCGAAAACTGCTCCTGGTAGCAAGATAACAGAATACGTAAGGAGGTATACCGACCATACCGCTTTCCCGCCAAATCCATAGGTTACGTATATCGAAGAATAATTAATATTTACGCACATACGATGATTAATATCTGAAGTTTTATGATTGATTATTTAAGAATAAAGTCTGTGTGACTTTTTAGTGCTATATTTATGCATATTTTCTGTGTATTTACTGAGATATTAATAATTGTTACAGTAATTATCTGGGTGATAACTGTGTTAAATGGTAGTTGAATTTTTATTAATTACAGCGTGCAGCGAGATAATCTGTGATATTTTATGATTGAAATGGGAAGAGGAAGGTTTGAAGTGCATTCTTTAATTGCTTTTGATGAAATTTGGTGGGTTAATTGTTTGGAAATATTAATTTATCGAGTGACAGTATTGTTCCGTACAAAATGTCGGATGATGAATACACATGAACCGCGTACTCGCGTATTTTTATTGATTTCTCAATTCTACGAGTTATATTGTGAACTTTTATGATGGGAACATGCAAATTAAGCTCTACTCTAATTTCTAATACAAGTTTTGTACACATTTGTGTCGTATTTACTTCATGAATAATTATTACTTCGATATTGTTTTCGCAATCGCCGTACAGTTACTCCCTCGGGAATTTTTATTAATTCTTCGCGAATTTGAGGTTTTTTATTAACATTTATGATTCAAACAAGTACTATACAGTCTAAACAATGTGTTCGTATTCTATTTTGTGCAAAGTGACAGTGTAGAAGCGTGGTTATTTGTAAACAAAGTTATTGTTTCCATTGTCATTTATTCGTAGATCGATTTTAAAAGATTTTTAAATATGGCGACTTTGTTAATAAGTGGATGGTATGTTACCGACTTTGAATTGCTGGTAACCTACTCAGTATGTCGATAACTAGGCAGGAACAATTTACCGACTGTGAATTGAAACTTAGTCGGTAAATTGTTGGTAAGTTACCGACCGTAAGTTAGCAATATTCAACGAAATTTCAGAAAACTATCAAGCTCCAATATCGACCAAATTTTGCGAATAAACTCTTGTTTGCAAAAGAATCTATAAGAATAGTTTTTAGCGATTCGAAAGAAGAATTTTTTTCATTCTTATGTCATTCCTTATATCAGTATAGTGTGTGAACTGTTTTGAACACATAATCCGCATCTTCGGATTCACGGAACATATTGCGAACGGCATAAAATCTATATTAATAAATACATAATAAACATATAGAGTAATAATCAATAAAATCGATATTAATGAAATTTTCCGCTAAAGATATACGTGGCGCCATCTAGCGGCTACTTATGGGAACTAACGAAAGTACAGTTTCAAAAACGCGTAGTTCATCCTGTTCGCCGGAGAGATGGCGCCACTTGTTCAATTTTCACAAAAGCTCAATTATTATTGATTTCATTGATTTAATTTGCTATAATATATATCAAATTACATTGGAATACAAGATTAATTAATTTTGAAATGTTTTGACTTTATCAAACATATTATAGTCTAATTTGTAGTAGCATTTCTTGAGGAACGCTGTTTCTAATTTAGTTCCATTAGTTCTCACTTCTCACCGCTAGATGGCTAGACTTTTTTATGTCCATGAAATGCAATTATTTTTATATTTATTAATATAATGCTTCAAGATTATTGTAAAGCCATTTTTCTGATATGTTTGTCCCTGTAAAACAATTCGAGATCGTCAGAAATAAGTAGTAATGCTTTATTTTGCGAAAAAACGAAATTTCTTATTTAAATGGTTTCAGGTTTGATGGCCAGATGCCGCCTTTTGTATTGTTTTTTCTTCAGATAATGCGCGCGAAAATCTTCGTTTGAAATTATATGTAAAAATGAGACTCTTAAAATTCTCTTTAATTTTGAAATTAGATGTTGTATAATACATTACTGTTCCTCAAAATATTTTGTACTAGTTAAATCGCAATGATACTTTAATGAAGAATGTAAACTTGCATGTGAAATTTAATTATACATTAAATATAATTAAATATAAAAACAATGAGAGACAGAAAATGTACATACAAAGTAATTGCACAAAATTTCTTTTACGATTATAGAATATTTTAAGTATATTTTCTCCGCAGTTTAAGACTTAGGTTATGATTCTACTTATAATACATAATTAACAAGTTTAATGTTTTTCCTTTTTACAAATATTATACTCTTCTACAATACATACACCTTTCATTATATCTACTGAAAAATGTTTTCCTTCTTTTTTGGTTACTTTTTTTTTATTCGAGAAGAGACATTACATTCATGTATTAATTAAATTAAAATCACCCTATGTATAATAAATTTTAATGTACGTCCATTATTGTACACCCGTTAGTTTAACAATAAATCAAAGAACAATTAAAAATTTATTTCAAATCCGTCAACGCGAGGAACACAGACGTGCATCAATTTTTGATATTTTTATATTTACCTCGCGTCGGATTATTTCGCGACAAAGGCACGGTTATCCAGCGAAATTATAACCAATTCACTACATTTTTTATCCGTGACAAATTTTTGAATTAATTGAATTTCATATTTCAACGAAAAAAGGATAGTAAGAAGTTACATTTCGAGTAGAAATTAATCGAAATGTGAACAAATAGGAGGAAGAGTTTGAATATTACTTTCTTTCTGTATTGAAAAATAAAAATAAATTGTATAAATGGAAAGAAATTGAATACTTCTTCTTTTATGTGTTAAAAATTAAAAGAATGTTATATAAAAGTTGATTTAAAATGAAACTGAATATTTCTTTTCTGATGTGTTCGAAAATTAAAATTTATAATAAAATTATTTGTATAAAAAGAAATTTAAAATATTTCTTTGTTTTGTGTTCAAAAATCAAAATATATTACATAAAAATTTATATAAAAATGAAACTGAATATTTCCTTCCTTTTGTTAAAAAATAAAAATGTATTATATAAAAATTTCCATGAAAAAGAAATTGAAAATTTTTCTTCTGTGCTAAAAAATCAAAACATATTACATAAAAATTTCCATAAAAAGACATTGAATATTTCTTTTCTTCTGTGTTCAAAAATCAAAATAGATTATATCAAAATTCATATAAAAAAAAGAATGGAATATTACATTTCTTGTGTGGAAAAATAAAAATATATTACATAAAAATTTATACATATTAAATATTACTCTCTTTATTGTATTAAAAAATAAAAATTTAATGTATTATATAAAAATGTTTCCATTACAAATAGATAGAGTTCTAATATCAACAATATGACACTTCAATTTATATCTAAGGAAGAATATATCCATAATCATTCAACATAAATCAGTGCTCGAAAGCGAAACAACGTGCTCTTAAACCGCCTATTTCTCCAGCCAACATCATACAAAAGTTATTGGAAAAAAACCAGTTTCAGAAGAAAGTTTTGCAAGGCGAATCGTCGGTATCATTAGTCATTGGCACGTCAGCATATGCCCATCGATGCTTCTTGATTGATCGTTCTCCAGA